AATGGAAGGGCAGATAAAGTCAAGTTGAAGGAGTTCATCATCACCAAGCCCTTATTGTATGAAATGTTAAAGGGACTTATCTAAGAAAAAGAAGATAAAAACCATGAACAGTAAAATGACAACAAACTCACAACTATCAACAACTGAGCCTAAAACAAACAAACAAAAAAACTAACCAAACAACTAGAACAGGAACAGAATCACAGAAATGGAGATCACATGGAGGGTTATCAGAGGGGAGCAGGAGAGGGGAGAATGAGGAAAAAGAGACAGGGAATAGGAAGCATAAATTGTAGGTACAAAATAGACAGGGGTAGGTTAGGAATAGTATAGGAAATGGAGAAGCCAAAGAACTTACCTGTACAACCCATGGACATGAACTCAGCAGGGTGGTAGGAATGCTGGTGGGAGGGAGTGTGCATGGCAGAGGAGAATAAAGGGGAAGGAAAAAATGGGACACCTGTAGATTCAAGATGGCAGAGGAGTGAGTGGATGTCACACTGACCTCCTCCCAAGACCAATCTTGAATTACAACTAAATTGTGGAGAAATCACCTGGAACGAACAACTGAACAATAGTGAGAGCAGAGAGTTATAACCTTGGACAGACAGAAGAACCAGCTTTAGCACAACCTAACTGGTAAGGAGTGCAGAAGTACTCTAGAAGGCGGGTGGGGCACCCACGAGTGGCAGCACCAGAAGGATATTGAAACAGCCAGTTGGATCCCACTGAGAAGAGCAGGGTCTAAACCATAAGTGGGAATCTCCAGCCTACAGCATCAGAGCCCAAAAAGTACACAGATAACAGCCAGCTGCAAAAAGTGGCAGGTTGCACTCTGCCAGAGACAGGCAGCTGGAGACACAAAGAGCCATTTAAAGGGCCAATGCACAAACTTTTATTTGCAGCCATTTACCCTGGTCTCTGGCTAAAGTGGGGGCAGAGTGGGATAGAGACACTGGATGAGAGACTGGGGAAGGAGGCTTTGGGGAGAGAACTGAGAGATTAGACAGTGGGATCCTGGTGCTGAGTCATCCCTCATGCAGCAGCAGCCATCTGGCTCAGGCACACCACTCCCCTGAATGGCAACAGCATGAGAGGACACAATAGCTCTGCCCCAGGAGGGACTCAGCCCTGGCCCAGTAGTGCTAAAGCCTGACTGCTGAGTACAGAGTGGCAGTCACAGATAGTAGGTTCTTGGCTAATGGGGGCACAGAGTGGTCTAGAGACACTTGAGGAGAGACTGGACACAGAGGCTTTTGGGGGGGAATGGAGAGAGTAACCTGTGGGATCCCAGTGCTGACTCCTCCCCCATACGGCAGCAGCCATCTGGCCCAGGCAAACCACTCCCCTGAGTGGCAGCAGTGTGAGAGGACCCAATAACCCTGGCCCCAGGAGGGACTCTGCCCACCCTGTGGTCTCTAAACCAGCCTGCTAAGTGCAGAGTGACTAGATTAACAGCTGAAGGAGATGGCCACAGACAGTAGATTCCTAGAAGTCTTGAACAAACTGCTAAAGGTCAGACAGAGTCAACATCTGACATCATCAGAGACAGATCCAGAAAGTAAAAACAGTGGTCTCCTACCACAGAAATTCACACTACAAAGTCAGGAAATCAAGACAGATCAATTTAAGAAGCAGAAGCAAAAAAGAAGAGTCTCACAAATAATGGGAAGACAAAGAAATGCCCACCAGTTGAAGGGAAAGGAGCAATCCTCAGAAAGAGAACTAAATGAAATAGAGGCAAGTAAACTATCAGATATTGAGTTCCAAACAATGGTTCTAAGGAAGCTCAACGAGCTCAATGAGCTCAGAGAGAATTACAAAAAAACCACAGGGAAACTATGAGCAACTTACTGCAAACTATATCAGCATGAAAAATGACATAGAAACTATCAATAAGAGACAAGAGGAAATGAAGAATACAATTTCTGAACTGAAGAACACAGTAGAAGGAATCAAAAGCAGGCTCGATGAAGCTGAGGACTGAATCAGCAAGCTGGAGGACAAGGTAGAAAAAAGCTCCCAGAAATAGCAAGGAAATAAAAATAGACTCAAAAAGAATGAAGAGGCATTTAGGGAAATGCAGGACAACCTGAAACATAATAATATCCATATAATAGGGATACCAGAAGGAGAAGAGGATGAGGAAGGGATAGAGAACCTGTTGGAAAAAGTAATGATGGAAAACTTCCCAAATCGGAGGAGAGAAAAAGTCACACAAGTCCAGGAAGCACAGAGGGTCCCATGCAAGAGGAACCCAATGAGGCCCACTCCAAGACACATCATCATTAAAATGGCAAATATCAAAGACAAACAGAGAATCCTAAAGCAAGCAAGAGAGAAAGAGGTATTAACATATAAGGGAGCCCCGCTACAGACAGCATCTGACTTCTCAACGGAAACACTGCAAGCCAGAAGGGAAAGGTAAGAAATATTCCAAGTCATGAAAAGCAAAGGCCTGCAACCAAGACTGCTCTACCTAGCAAGGCTCTCAGTGAAAATGAAAGGTGAAATAAGGAGTTTCCCAGACAAAAGGAGGCTAAAAGAATACATGTCCACCAAAAGAGCACTGCAAAATATGCTAAAGGAACTCCTTTAAGATGAAGAAAAAGTTTCTATGAATACCCAGTTCCTTTCAGGGTTGCCATACTTGATATTACCAATATTTTTAATACTCATTAATCTGATTGTGACAATGATGTTATTTTAATTGTTCCTTTACTATTTGTTGAAACTAAACCTGTTTTAGTATATTTCTCACCTATTTCTATTATTTTTTTTAAAAAAGCTTTAAATGACTTTTTGGTATCCTTTACCCACTTATTGATTAAAGGTTTGTTGAATTTTTTTTTCCCTAAAAAAAAAACCCAAGAAACAAAAAACCTATTAACCATGTTTAAGATGTGTTGCAAATACTTTTCTATTCTCTTCCTTGTCCTTTAACTTTTTTTATGTGTATATTACTATATAGTCTTAAATGTTTAATATAGTAATATTGTCAGTATTTACTTATAGCTTCTGGGGTTGAATATTTTACTTCAGATCATGAAAAATTTTAGTTCTATTTTCTTCTAAAACTCCTTAGATTCTACATATTGATTTTTAACTCATCTGAATATTTCTTGTATAAAGTGCGAAATAGGGCTCTATATTTGTTTTATTTCAAGTAATACTGGTCCATGCACCTTATTTGTGGAATGAGCCTTATTTTCCCTATTCATTTGAAATATCAATTGAATCATATATTACATTGTTAGACAGATATATACATTTGTTTCTAGAAAGCTCATTTTATTTCATTGATCTACTTGATTATTTCTGTGTTGGTGTCATGTTGTTTTAATTGCTGAAACTTTGTAATAAATTTAAATTTTTTAATATTTTATAATGGATTTGACTTTTAAAATAAATAAATAAAATCAATCTGCATTTTAAAAAAAGAAAAAGAAAGAAGGAAATCCTACATTTTGCAACAACATGGATGGAACTGGTGAACAGTATGCTAAGTGAAATAAGCCAATTGGTGAAAGACAAGTACCGTATGCTCTCACCTATAAGTGGAATCTATTCAACAAAATAAACTCACGAACAAAATAAACCACAGGCATGGAAATATGGAGCAGACTGAAAGTGACCAGAGGGGATGGGGAAGGAGGACAATGGTGGAAAGCAGGGGAAGGGACTAGACAAAGGACATGTATGAATGACCCATGGACATGGACGACAGAGTAGGAATTGACTGTCGGAGTGGGGGTGGGGATGGGTGGAGGAGGACAAAGGGGAGGGGGGAAATTGAGACAACTGTAATAGAATAAACATGATTTAAAAATAAAAAAGTTTCTTAAACTGGGACAACTGTAATGGCATAAAATATACTTTAAAAAAGACTTAAATTTTTATGTTAAAGACTATTTAAGTGTGAATGATATAATAATAATGAAATAGGATACAAATGGTGATAAAATTCCAATTCTTTTTTTTTTCTTTTGCAAATGCATGTTTAATGAACTCTGAACTTTTTATTGGCATCCTGCCTTGCCAAGGGTTGCCCCACTTTTGCTGACTTTAATGCCTCAAAACTTTGGTGTTGTTGACCTTAGACACCATTTTGCCGCCCACAATCTTACAGGTCGTGGTCTTTATTTATTTTTTTTTTTTTGAAGCATTAAGTATATATTTTTCTTTAAATATATCTCCTACTTCAGTAGCATACACGGATGAAGTTATTTTCTTCCAAGTAAGTGATACTTTATCTTTAGTACCTTTAAATATGTAGACACCCACTACAGAAATGATTTTATATGCAAATACTGTATAGACGTTCTATCCATACATTCAATTGTCCCAAAAACAATTAACTTTTTAAAAGGAAAGCACACAAAAAATTTTAAAAGGCTCTAGATTCATCTTCTAAATCATTGTTGAGCTGGGAAACTACAGCTTGTTCTACCAAGAATCTCAAGTTAAAACTTTCTCCAAAGGAAATTAGAGAGCAAAGTGCCATTTCAGAAATCACTATTCATTTTTCTGCCCCAGCATCTACAACTGCCTATCCTAACAGCTAAACCAGGTAAAAATAGTCCAAGAGAATTAGACCTTCAATATATTAGGCCATTGTGTTAAGACGTTAATAAGCTAAAACATGAAATACTGAAATCAAAACAAAAACTATCAGTGCTTGAGGCTAATTATCATACAAACTTTAGTTCCTTAAATGTACTCCTCCTTCTACAACATTAATAAAGGGAATATTTTTACTGCAAAGAAAATTTTATTTTATATATCACTAGCCATGAATTTCTGTCATTAGTTATTACATAAATGGTGTCATTATCCAAATGGCATGATCATTTATGTCTACAATTCACTTTGTATTTACAGAATTTTCATGATTTACACAAGTAAATCTATGAATGAAGGTTCAACAGTGAGGCACAATCTAGCATCCATATTATCTGATGTCTTGCAGATAGCAATGTGGAAGAGATATAATTTTAGTCACCTTTTCATTTGAGTCACCTTATGTAAAAAATAAATGAATAACTTAGAACATCTAAGCCTCTGAAGGAGATTTTCCAATGCGCTCATAGAAATGGTTAAACAGTAAGATTGTCGGAAACAACTTCCATGTCCACATCCTCTTGTAGTTTCTGTACCATTTTGTCTTCCAGCTGCTTTCCTTTGCCTGCAAAAGGGGCCCGGATGAGATGAATGTTTTGCTTGACTTCCTTGATGTCTTGAGCTTTCTGTAGTTCTTTTATTTTTCTTCAACCTGTTCATTATAAATTTAGCTTGCCGTTTTTGTTTGATTTCTTCAACTCTCTTCATTGCATCAATTGTTTTATTCCACAGCTCTCGCTGGTATTTGACAGGTTCATTTCTACGTTTTTCAAATTCAAATGAATTATCCACTGTAAGCTCTTTACCAGCTGCTTTACGGAAGGCTTTAGTCCACCTGAACTTGCAAGGATTGCGCTTCTTTTTAAAGTTTTTATGACACTTGGATTTACAGAACCTGAACACCTTGCAGTCGTTGCGGACGAACATCATGCCGTGGCCGGGGTATATGAGCCCCGAACAGAAATAACACTTCTCGATACGCATGTTGAACGCGCGTGGAGACCCACCACCCAAACACTGACTTTGAAAGGACCAGGTCGTGGTCTTTTGGATGGTTTGTAAGGAGTGGCTCTTGTCCAGGGCGTCAACAAGATTGAAGTCCTCCCCTTCTTCCACTGGTGGTGGTAGGTGGCAATCTCAGCCTCCAACTTGGCCTTGATGTTCAGCAGGGCCTCATACTCCTGGGCCTGGCACTGCCCCTCTGCCCAGGTCTGGGTCAGCTCTGCCTCCAGGTGCAGCAGGATCCCACTGAGTTGTTCCATCTGCATGGCATAGTGCATCTCCACCTTCCTCAGGCTGTTCTCCAAACTGACCTTTAGATTTCTCATTGAGTCCATGTCAGTCTCCAAGGACTGGATCGAACATCTCTCAGCTCTGTGAGTGTCGCCTCAGGAGCGCCTATCTCAGCAGTCTGTGTGGTACCATTGTGGTGCTCTCTTCAATCTGATGGGAACAGTACTTGTCTAGCTCCTCTGGGTTCTTCCGAGCCAGCTCTTCATACTGGGCCCGAAGTTCTGCCCAGGTCCTGAGATTTGGGGGCATCCAACTCCACAGTCAACCCAGAGTTGGCAATCTGGTTTTGTAGACCATTTACCTCCTCCTCATGGTTCTTCTTCATGAAGAGCAGCTCTTCCTTGAGAGCCTCGATCTCTGTCTCCAGCTGCAAGCCAGTGATATTGGTGTCATCAACGACCTTTCGGAGCCCATTGATGTCATTCTCCACAGGCTGGCGCATGGCCAGCCCTGTCTCATACTTGATTATGAAGTCATCAGCAACAAGGTGGGCATTGTCAATTTGCAGAACAATGCGGGTATTATCCACAGAATGTGCAAAGATCTAAGCTCTCAGGTCCTCAATAGTCTTGAAATAATGCTCCCAGTCTTTGACCAGGGGTCCCTTCTTCTCTAGGTGTTCCCAGATTTTGATCTCCGGTCTCCGATTATCAACCTCTAGGCTTCTCACCCTCTCCAGGTAGGAGGCCAAGCGGTCATTCAGGCATTCGCATGGTCTCCTTCTCGCTCTGGATGCCCCCTATGCCCACCAGACCCCCCGCCATCCCTGCAGCCAGGCCTCCAGATCCCCAGCCGCCCCGCACGCTGGTGGAGCGGGACACCGAGATCTGGGAGCCCAAGCCCCTGGTGCCTGCATAGACTCTGGCCATGCTGCTGACCAGCCAGACCCAGTAGCTGGGCGACTGCATGGACCCAGAGTCTGGTAGCTCGTGGAGAAGCTGGAGCATGAGCTGAAGCTCATCCTGTTCAGCAAGGAAGGAGAGAAGCCAATACTCAGGAGGAGGGCCTCTAGCGGAGACTCAGGTTGAAGCTGCTCCAATTCTTTTTTAAAATGTATACAGAAAAAAACTATAGAACATACTCAAAACTTTGACATTTCTGGATTCTTGGGTTAGATGTAGTATGAGCTTTCCTACAGTTTCAAAATTTTGATCATTTACAGATTTTCCTTCTTTTTCTTCTCCCCCAACATCAAAACATTGATTGTTGACCCTTCTGAATATACAATTATCCTATAATCAAAAATATTTTAAATACATGCACTGATTTCCTTATTTGTACTCTTATTACAAGATTATTATTCCCTTGAGAGCATCAGAATTTTTTTAAAAACAAACTTTCTTTGCAAAGTAGAAGAAGAGTCCCCCATGGTGTTATGAGAAAGACGTAAAATTACCTTGTATGAGACTGAGTGAGGAATTTGTTGTTCTGGAGGGGAAAAGTAAGGACAGGTAAGAGTGAAAAACAATTAAGCAGAAAAGAAAAAAGAAGATATAAATACAAAGCTATTTATATTATCAAATAACTGTTAATCCCACATAAACATTTGTGTACATAAGAAAAATAGAGGCTAAAAGAAACAACAGTGGGTTATCTTTTCTATGGATTATTCTTTTTCCTTCATGATTTACTATGTTTTTCAAATTATCTACAGTAAACATGTATTAATTTTATAATCCAGAAAAAGGTATTCTAAAAATCAGAGGAGTTCAGACAGATTAAGAAAAAGGAAAGGGGCATTCCAAGTACATTGAATGCCTCAAGCAAAGCTATGTGGGTGAAGTAGCTTTAAAATAGCATAATAGGGTAGGCATAGTGTGGGTGCAACAATTGAGCCAGTCTGACTGATACCAAGAGTTCTCCTGAGAGATGTGGAAGAGAAACTTAGAAAGGTACGTTAGGAGTGGATGAAGGCCTTGAATGCCAGTGTAACCGTCTAGGACCAGGCTTACTGAGGCCGGAATAGAGTCGGGGAAAGCCTAGGATGCTGAGCTGCTCCACACAAGTTTGCTCCTGAAAATAATTGCTAGCAGGATTTCCAGGACAAGCCAAAGTAACAGAGTATTTAAAAGCTCCACATAAATCATTGTGGATGAAGAACAGGAGTCAAAGAATCTTTTCAATCCCGATACCAGACTGCTAAAGCACACGGGTGTCAGAGTGATCAAGCAAGAGAATTATTGTGAGGTATTCAGAGCAGGCTGAGGCTGGGGCCAGGTTATCATAGTTGAGGCCACAGATACCTCTAAGGCAAGAATTCTTAACCAGAACATCAAAGTCACTTATGATGTGTTTCTTTTTTCTTTATACAAACATATGCCTTGTACTGTCCACTGTGGGTAACACAGGTACTCTCTAGATCTGACCTTACACAAACCCTCATTTGATATCATGCAGGGTTACTCCTTCTGGGGATGCACACGCTAAGATGTGACTGTAGGATTCTACTGAGATTGAGTGCTTAGGGCTTACTGTCTCCTAACCCAAGAAGTTCAAATGATGGATCCCAACAAAATCTCATCAAGGATGTTTTTTCATCACTTTTCATCAATGTGATCATCCTGCGGATGAATCTATTCAAGGAGGCCTATCCATCTAGGTCCTACATGGATCAATCCAGGCTATTCAGCAAACTGGAAAGACCTCACTGATGCTACAATGTTAACTTTCTTCAACCCCACAACACCTGTTCCTGGAGGCCAACACTTCCAGGCTCATTCAGTGCTATTTTTTCACAAATGAACCTGAGGGTACTGTTTCCAAACCTCCCTGAAGATAAGAACCTCAGATTCCTGGGCCCAAACTTAGATCAACAATTACAGTTTCCAGGGAAGAGATCTGGTAATCTGTTCTAGATAAATGCTCTTATGGCCAGAACATACTTCTGTAAACGCATCTCTTGTCTAACCCCAAAGCCCAGCTCACTTGGGTGAAAGGGCTCCTACAGTGGCTGCCTTCAACACTACCGGAGAGAGGCCTACCACCCAAAACCTCTCCACTGATTGTCAAGTTGAGTCAAAACAGACACCGCTGGCTCTGTTTTTCTAGTACCCATGTCTAATGCCACCTCAAACCTTTTTCTGAAGGAAGCAGTCAGGCAGGCAAATGGGGCCTCACTCAGAAGTGGATTATAGAACCGAATTTCAGGGGTCTCACACTTGTATCGGCTCAGCTGGAGATTCCACAGGAGCATAGCTCCATCTGGTTCTATTGACATTCATCCAATAGCCCTCTCCAGCCACTTTACCTGATCACGTCCTGTGGGCCGTTAAGGCCTCCTACAGCAGCCGCTTTGTTTTTTATATCCTAGCCATTAAAGTCCAAACTCCAGTCTGGACTGGGGTTATGGGGGCATAGTTGGCCCACTAGTTCCTCCAGAAACCCTACACATTCCACAACATTCCACCCATTGCAGGGTCTATATATGGATGCCCAGGTGAAATAAAAACAGACAGGAATGGGTAGAGCCTGAGGGTAATGCCTAGGAGACCTCTCAACTGCCTTACACGTATTCCTAATCCTTTGGCAGGCTTCCTTTGAAGGAACCTGGAAAAACCCAGAGTCCACACTAATTCACAGTGAAGACTAAAAGCAGAGAACAGGAATGGGACTCTGGAATAAAAGGACAAACATAAAAAAGCATATTAGAATTAGGACATGGAATCTATTATGTACAATCCCGTTAACATGGATATTGCTCTTCTCAGCCTGCTTCACGCTTGATTCTAGTAGTAAATAGTGTAATTGCTTTAGTATAAGGTGCTTTAACCGCCTTCACAGTTTTGGCCTCTTCCACCACTTCAGCCTTCTGGGTCACAACTTACCTTTTTTCTAGCTGGATACAACCAGACTAACCACAAAGAAACAAACTTCTGTCTTGTTTCAGAACCTTTCTCTTGGAAGTAGATTCCAAGTGGATAGGGCTCAGCATACCCAGAAGTTCCCATATCTAATAAGAGAAGCTAAAGAAAGTTGCAAGATTTTGAGCAAGAGAGTGATACAATGAAATCCATGCTTTAAGCAAGTTAATGACAAGTGCTGGTGAGGATGTGGAGAAAAGGGAACCCCAGTGCACTGCTGGTGGGAAAGCAGAGTGGTGCAGCCACTGTGGAAAAAAGTATGGAGTTTCCTCAAAAGACTAAAAATGGAACTGCCTGATGACCCAGTGATTCTATTTCTGGGGGTTTATCCAAAGGAACCAAAACATTAATTCAAAAGAATATATGCACGCCTATGTTCATTGAGGCATTTTTTACAATAGCCAAGCCATAGAAGCGACCTCAGCACCCATCAATAAATGAGTGGATAAAAAAGCTGTGGTACATACATTCAAGTGCAATGGACTATTACTCAGCCATTTAAAAAAATAATGAAATATTACCATTTGCAACGGCATCAATGGACCTAGAGGGTATTATGCTCAGTAAAAGAAGTGAGTCAGAGAAAGACAAATACCATATGATTTCACTTATATGTAGAATCTAAAGAACAAAATAAACAAACAAACAGAACTGAAACAGACTCATAGATACAGAGAGAGAACTGGTGGTTGCCAGAGGGGAGGCAGGTTAGAGGACTGGGTGCAAAAGGTGAAGGGACTGAGAAGCACAAAGTGGTAGTTACAAAATAGCCATGGGGAATTAAGTACAGCATAAAGAATATAGTCAATAATATTGTGACAACTATGTATGGTGCCAGTTGAGGTACTGAAAATACCAAGGGAAACATATC